TAAATAAATAAATAAATAAATAAATAAAATGAAAATAACAAAGACCTACTTTCAAGGAGCTCACAGTTTATTGGAAAAGCAGACAAATTAACCATGTAATATAACGGAGTGGTGTAATCGATGTTAGTACATGACACTAAAGAAGGCATTGAATTGAAAGGATGAGTCGGGGTTATACATAGACGTGGTGCCTTGCACAAGCAACTTGGAGATGCTTCAGGTTGATGCAGACAGACAGCGTTGGGTGAGAGAGAAGGGGAGACCAGTGCTGGAGGTAAGAGGAGTTAGAGACCAAGGCAGATGCAGGCTGGGGCTGGATCCCAAAGAGTTTTCCTTACAATTCAGTGAGAGGTTGCTTTCCGAGAGGAACTGCCCACTCCAAGGTTTTAAGCAGGGAATGTTGAGTGTATTTGCACATTGGAATAGTGAAGGAACTGAGTGGAGAGAGTTAAAGCTCAGGCACGAGGCTGGGGATAATTGGTGTTTATATTTCATTCTGTGTGTGCACACATGCCATGTAATGTGTGCCATGTACAGAATTCTGTCAGAGGACAGCTTGAGGGAGTGGCTTCTCTCCTTCTGTGGGATTGAATTCAGGTTGACGGGCTTGGTGCAAAGTGTCTTTACCCACGGAGCCATCTTGCTGGTCCTGCTGTAAATTTTGTAGTTACTTTGTTGGGGGAAAAAAAAAAAAAAGAAGAAGAAGTAGGCCAGATGGTGATTGAGCATGCTTTTAGTCCCAGCAGTCATAAGGCAGAGGCGCAGGGGATTTCTGAGTTCGAGACCAGCATGGTCTACAGGGTGAGTTTCAGGATAGCCAGGGCTGTTACACAGAGAACCCTTGTCTCAAAAAGAAGATGTTGATAGTGAACTACCAACAAGTAGGGCTAGAAAGATGGCTCAGCTGTTAAGAGCACTAGCTGCTCTTCCAAAGGACCTGGGTTCAATTCCCAGCACCTGCATGGTGGCTCACAGCTGTCTGTAAACCTGGTCAAAGATGATCCACCATTCTCTTCTAGCCTCCCTGGGCACCAAGCCATAAGTGGTACACAGACACGCCCCTACACATAAAATAAAAATAATAAAAACCCTTTGAGGATAAAGTTTATAATTGCAAAACCTTTTCATCGCTTTCAAATTACTTTGTTTCTGTTTACTTGTAGTTCATTGTTTTACTTTTTGATTATTTTCTTGAATATTTGCTTCATTTGTCTCAGATGACTTTATAGGTATTTCAAGAACATTTAGGAAATGACCCTTCACTGCTTTATCTCTTTACTTATGGATTCTTGGTTTTTATCCTTACCCATTTTTCACATATAATACTGGATGATGATGTGTTTTTACAAAGATTGCAGTCTACTAGAGTAAACTAACCACATGCAGTGGTCTGTTTGAGTGGACACAAGATGTTTTCACCCAGTAGTTTGAGGTTGCAGAAGGGGAAGTGGTTGATTTGGGGCTGGAGGATGGAAAAAGCACCTCGAGAAGACGTCCCTGAGGGATGTATAAAGGAAAAGGAGAACAACACCGGAGGCGAGCACAGGCAGTTGTTGACAAGCTGGAGCTGGTGTGAGTTGTCCTGAGGGCAGGCTCCATGGCACCAGTCCTGCTTGGGAGGTAAAGGCACACAAGGACCAGTCCGTGTGGGCGCCCTGGAAGCTGCTCTTTAAAAAGGAGAACCCAGCAAGTTTGCTCCATTTCCTCTGCTCCCTGTTCCGTCCTTTCATAATTTCCACTCTGATTACTGTGAAAGAGTTTATCATTGCTCTCGTTTTGTGACTATGACTCAGTGCTTTATCTAATGCCAAGTGACGAAGAGTAAGTCTTATTCAGACCAAGCTCAGTTCCCCCATCTCTGGTAACCAACTGGCTGTTAGCTATCTTGGTGCTCTCTTCTTGTCTCCTTTTCCTTGTCTCCATTCAATCTAGAATTCACAGAGTTGATAGTAAGGCATAAGCTTGCACCACTGGGTGGCAAGCACCTTTACCCACTTCACTGAACCAATTGGCTGCCCCATTCTAGCTTCTTTTGACAAATGTCATATGTATTCTAAAATGGATTGTTCTATTGAGCCCTCAGATCCTTGCTGAGTTTCAGCAAGCCAGCTCACTGGTCTCCTGTTAGATGCCCTCCTCCACCCACCTGCCCTCAGTGTTCTTCTGTCTGTTTGCTTGTTTTTGTTTTTCCAAGAGAGAGTTTCTCTGTGTAGCTCTGGCTCTCCTGGAACTCTGTAGACCAGGATGGCCTTGACTCAGAGACCTCCTGCCTCTGCCTCCCAAGTGCTGAGATTAAAGGCGTGTGCTACCACAGCCCGGCCTCTCCAATGTTCTTAACACAACTCCCAAACATTAGTTAATTTAACTTGAACTTTCAAAAGTGATTGAGTGTTTAGCTTGTGTTCCCAGGCCCCCAAGTGTATCCTGGATGTTAGGGGCAGTTGTTAATGCCTGGCCAGCTCTCTGCTCCTGACCATAGGACCTATTGAAGTCTGCTGCCTCCAGTCAGGTCCACCATCCTTGGAGTTCTTTGTCTAGGCTTGAGGCCTCCTGAGCGTGCCTCCTTCCACATTAGCGAATCTGTTGGTGTTGTCCTTGTTCACAGCATGGTTAGGCTCATGTTGGTGCAATTTCATGGGTGGAGCTCCTCTTGCATTTCTAGGAGAGGGAATCTCACAGCAGCTTTTTGTTCCTCTGGTCTTACAGTGTTTCTGCCCCCTCTTCTACACTTAATCCTTGAGC